GATTGGTTCTACTAATTATTCACATATCGGAGTATCTGTGCTATTAATCAATTTTATAGTACTCCGATAGTGAAGTGGTGGGAAAATTAGTAAACCCCGATTTTCAAATTTATATGATCGAAAGGTTACACCAAAAATGATGATTAGCATATCAGATACATATATATTCTGCTTCATGTAATATTTTATTAGTCACATGACTGGATTTTAAATGCATATATACATCATACATTACTTTAGCTATTTAGTCATTATGGCACATTTGTATGTACCTTTATAATCTGATCTAAGCCACTGCTGATGTATATAAAATACGATTTGTCAGATAATAAAATCTAAAAATATTCAATATTCTCGTTCTAAATTCTTTCTCTTAATATAACTAGTTGCTTTCTATATAATGTCTACCCCTCCGCATAAAATTCGCACTCCTGATTTTGATCGGTTGGTTTATCTTGTTTTTGCGTTATGCACATATTCATAAAGCATTATGTATTAATTCAAAACCAATCAAATATTGTATGTAGCCTTTTACCACAAAGATCCCTTAATCCGGTCCAGGATCTGCAAATGCGGATCGTAACCGAAGAAAGTTCCAAGAAGAGAAAATTATCGGTCATCGAAGAGGAGGCACAGCAAGGTAATTATTTAAATTTTCATGTTTTCATGTTTAACAATAATAATAATAATAATAATAATTTATTCTTAGAGGAGGAAAATCGACTTTACAGAGCAGTTGTGGGACAAGCAATGTTACCGTTAAGAGAAACAACCGATGATATCATTCATCGTTTGAATTCAACTCCCACAAAGTCATCCAAGAGATTGTTGTCTTTTAGTACACCGACGAAGGAACGAACCTATTTTTTTGATTCGCCGGTTAAGAGTGATTATAATTCGAGTCCGCTTCCGTTAGAAGCGCAGTTAATTCTGACCAGTCCTCGCAAGCCGCCCAGATACATCAGCAGAACTCCATACAAGGTGCTTGATGCACCTGATCTTCAGGTAAATTTCGCACAATACATCTTTATTGTTTCAATTTTCTTAATATCTTATCCCTCTTTGTTCCTTATGAATAGGATGACTTTTACTTAAATTTGGTGGATTGGTCTTCCACAAATGTTTTGGGTGTTGGATTAGGTACTTGTGTCTATCTTTGGAACGCGGTGACTTCAAGGGTAAATATATCAATATATATACACATATATATATAGTTGAACCTCCCAAAACCGATATGCATGGTGGACAGGTTTTGTATCAGTATTGAGAGGTTATCAGATTTGAGAGCGTTATAAACTTTTAGATTTATATAGAATAAACAGACTTCTTGGTAGATTAATTTTTTATCAGATTTGACAGGTTATCAGATTTGACAGGATCGGTTTGAGAGGTTTAACTGTATATTTATATATTTTTGCTTATACGTATATATTGTTTTAATATTTATAAAGTTATTTTTGTTTATATAGGTTGTGAAGCTTTGCGATATGGCGAGTCCAGGAAGGGGTAATAGCAATACAGAGAATGTTACATCAGTTAGTTGGATGCCAACGGTATATTGTTTATTTATAATTTATGTTAATTAGTAAAAGTTTTATTTGATTAGTTTGTTCAATTTTGTCAATTAATAGGGTTCTCACATAGCCGTTGGGACAGCTCTAGGTCCTGTCGAAATCTGGGATGTTCATGCAAGTAAACAAATCAGAAAAATGAAAGGACATATTCAACGAGTAGGTAAGTATCTAAAATTTTGATTGCTCAATTATTTGTTTATTAAATTATTGAATATCCATTATTTTTATAATTTCAAGGTGCCTTATCTTGGAACTCTTATGTTGTTAGTTCTGGAGGGCGAGATAGGATGATTTATCATAGGGATATCAGATCCCAAAATGACTTTACGACAAAGTTATCTGGACATAGACAAGAGGTAATATTAATATTTTGAATTGATCTGAATGTGTATATTTAATTCCAATTATAGTTCAATTGTATTATAATAAATGCGCTTTTTTTTCAAATTCATTTAATACAACTTATTTATCTGTGTTTTAGGTTTGCGGACTCAAGTGGAATCCAGAGGGAAATCAACTTGCTAGCGGTGGGAATGATAATAAGCTTTTGATATGGGACAGAGCGAATGATGTACCTGTTCATAAATTTCCTCATCATACGGCAGCTGTCAAAGCCATTGCTTGGAGTCCACATTCACATGGTCTTTTGGCAAGTGGCGGTGGTTCCCAAGATAAGCACATTCGATTTTGGAATACTACAATTGGTAAATCCTTAGAAAGTTATGACACCGAATCTCAGGTATAGGTTGTATTTCTTTACGCTTTGTAATCTGATTAAATTTAATTTCGTATCGTTAATTTTTAGGTATGTAATCTTGCGTGGTCTAGGCACGCAAATGAGATTGTTTCGACTCACGGGTACTCTCAGAACCAAATAATTCTCTGGAAATATCCCACGATGGAACAATTGGCTATTTTAAAGGGACATACTCTCCGCGTTCTTTACCTTTCTGTTTCACCTGATGGTGAGAATATAGTTACTGGAGCTGGTGATGAAACTTTACGCTTTTGGAATGTATTTAACAACGGAAAAAAAGAGAAGAAACGTATGACTGCATTTGATATTCGTTCACAAATCCGTTAAATTTAAAAAACCATATAATCAATGTTGACATTCTGTTGTTCCAATAAATAATTGAGTGCCCAAATGCGAGGATGGCCTAACGTGAGGCAATCACGTGATTGATTCGCAACCAAAAATTTTTCCAGATCCGAAACATTTCGCTAACATTAACTTTCAAAAGCTAATAACGCAATGAAAGTAAGTTTTGCATGATTACGACATAAATATAAGCGTTGCTTGTAAATTAGCAAAGCGGCGACGTTTTATAGGCTGGAACCTTAATTATGTCTTTAAATTTTAGAATTTCTTTAAATTTTAGGACTTTGTTTAATAAAATTAATAAGTAATTCTTTTTTTTTAAAAAAAAAAAAAAAAATCTTTGTTTAAATATATATTTTGTTTTTAATATATTATAAAAAAAAAACTCATACGAATTCTAGATTATAGAGCATGTAATTTGTAACTGTTTAAACAAAGCATAATTTCTAACTATACTATCTAATTAACTAAATTGATATTGGCACTATATGATTTTATTTATATAATGAATTTGTAAAGCCGTCTAATTTTTTTATAAACAGAGCGATGATTAAATATAATAATAGATAATTAAAAAAATAACAATTTAGCAATTTAAGCAAATTTGATTATTAAATTTTATAATAAAAATAAAATTTAATAAATTATTTTTAATATTATAAATCATTTTTAATATTAGAAAAATGTTATTAAAAAATATTATAAAAGAATTATTATACTACAGTATATACAGTAATATTGTATAAAAATAAATACTATATTACAGTTTTACAATATTTTAACTAAAAATATTAGTTGTAGTTACTTTTGATATAGATATTTTTTGATTCTAATTATTTAAATTATAAAAGAATTAACTTTTTAACTTTTTGTAAATATTAAATTTTTGTTTTTTAAACTAGCTATTATATCTACTGTAAATACTACAAAAAAAATAAATTAATAAATTTTAAAATTTTTTTTTACACAAATTAATTTAAAATATACTGTATAGCATTACATTACAAAACTCTAAAAATTAATTTTATATTATAAATTTTATACAGTAATAGTATAAAACAATACAAATTTTAAGAGTTTTTCTAGGCATCTTTAGCTAGAAATATATAACTATCTCTTAAATAATAAGCAATTGCAGGCAAATTTGCCTGCAATTTATATTATAAATATAGGTTTGATTTATTTTTTTAAATATTTAAATAAAATTTTACACAATTATATTTGAAAATAAAGATTATATTCTTGCTTTATTTGTATTTAAATTAT